AACAATCTAAATAAGAATAATGATAAATTGGACGAAAATTTGAAACTAATAACTTGACATAAGTTATTTTATTTAAAATATTAAAAAGCCGATCTTATTTTATTTAATAATTGATTCTTTTTTTTTAGATCTATAATATTGTGTATATTAATTAATTTAATGACATGACATCATTAATTTTAAATTTATCCTAAATTTTCATCCTCCTATTATTGCTATGTAAATAATTACTGTCCAAATAAAGTATGTGAAGAGAGTAAAATCAACATTTTTTTTGTCTCTCTTCTTTGTTCATTTATCCTTTTAGAAAGTCGAAGGCTAGTGATAATTTATAAATTACTTGGGGTTTGATGGTATTTTGGTTGATTGAAATATGACTTTTTAATAATTTCATAAAATTTTGTAGTTTTTTTAAATAAGTGATACACACTACTAAAAAAGCAAATACATATAAATTGAGTTTAAATTAATGATTAACCCTCAAAATTATAAGATTATAAATTTTAAATCTTTAAATAAAAAATTTTGAGTAGTTAAAAGTTTGAACAATTAGGTTTGAATTTTTAGATGATAGAGTGATGATTGGAATTTAAAATACATGGTACCCTAATAAGTTGATTTTTTTATTTTAATTCAAAAATTGTTCACTTTAATTTAATTTTAAATTTTACAAAATATTGATCATCTCTTATATTATGAAAAATTAATTATAGAAAATTATAAATAAACTTCGCTTTAACAATGCTAGATGCATGTTAAAAATTAGGCATTCTAGAGAGTTGAAAAAAAGAGAGGATAAATTAAATGAATTTAGGGGATTATAAATATTAAAGAGTTGCTTTTACTTTAGTAAAAGTTAATCAATATTTATTGGCTAAACTCTATATTTGCACCTTATACATTTTTTTCTTTCTATGGACAATATCCTAAATTAATTTTCATCGTGATCAATATCTTTATAATTTAAACATTGTAAAAAACCCCAAACTACCAACAAAATGGTGGTGCAAATAAGGGGTTTTACCACAAAATCAAGGTATAAATAGAGGATTTGATAGTTAATTTTTAAGTTTTGCATGGATTTTGAATAGTAAAAGGTGTTGAGTGAAACAAAAATTTATTTAAAGTATTAACCGTAGAATGAAAAAATGTGTAGGGTGTAAATAGGAGTATTAGCCATACTTATTTTGTATAAAGTAGAAAAGAATCTGAAAAAAAATAAAATAAAATTTTATATACATTGTTATAATATCTGAACATAATACTTTTGATACTTATTTGGACTTTATTTACAGGTAAATTTGAACCCTTTATGAATATATTTTTTTTTGTTGAATGGGTAATATATCTTTAGGTTAATTTACATATAGTTGATACTAATTTCTCTCTAATACATTTGAAGAGAAATCATTCACGTCAAGTTAAAAAAATTTTAAAAATTACTTATTCATTAGTCATTAACCTCCAAAAAAATTAAATCTTGATGAACAAAATAAAAACAAATCTTTTTATTGTTATTGTTACACTCTTAACTATTAATGTCATATTTTTTATTTTAATTGATCATTATAATTTTTAATTTATTAAAAGACAAAAAATAAAATAATATAAGAGTATAATAAGTATTATATTAAAATAATATAATATTAACTATTTAAGATATGACAATAATCCTGTCTTTTGGACCCTTGTTAATTATGTCGATAACAATCTAAATAAGAATAATAATAAATCGGACAAAAATTTGGAGCCGATGACTTGATGTGAGTCACGTTATTTAAGTGAAAAAATATCTAATAACTACATCATTTTTATAAATTTTCATTTTAAAAAACTAAAACATTCTAGTTTTTAGAGGAGAAATAAAATTGTTTAAGTGTTTTTTTATAATACTTTATTAAAACGATATTATTTTTAGTGATTTTATATATATACATTTATAAATTTGACTAATAAACACTGACCTTTTGAAAAATTATTCTATTTTTAACTAGAATAGTTTAATAGGTGAAGGAAATTTAAACTCATAACACTTCAAAAAAAAAAAAAAATTAAGCAACCCTTCATTTACTGAAACCTAACTATCCAACAAGTAATATTAAAGTGTCATTGGAAAAAGTTGCCACAAAATATCTAAACTTTAAAAAATCAAATAAGATGGTATATATACTAATACTTCAACAACACATATGTTTTTTAAATTATTTATTTTCTTTATTCAATTTTAATA